TCAAAGATACATTTTTAAATAAGTCTTTCAAAAAAAAAATTAAAAGTACAATATACAAAACACTTTCTATTAATTATATATAGAAAAAGACTTGCATTTTTTATGAAACCTTTAGATGAACTCGAGTTTTTTTTATGGATTTAATTAATGAACTCGAGCTTCCTGCCGATATATCGCTTAGATTGTGCGTGTATGATCAAATTATCTCTAAATATGAGAACACATAACAAATGGATATTTTAAACCCTACACAATCATTCTGAAAGTTTTTTCCAAACAAGTTGACTTTACTTATGGGAGAGGGACCCAATGACCTTCCAAGCCATTGTTGTCTGTAAATGAAAACCACACCTTTATTTAGATTTAAGGTATATTTCTAGGAACCCCGTGAATCACCTAATCTCACGGTGGAAAATGTTGGAATACTATTGTCCCATCCTATTGAGGCAAAAACCAATATTTAGCTCATCATCTTACAAAATTGATAGATTTTAACCCCTCACCTTACAAAATTGATAGGTTTTAGCCCTTCACCTTATAACATGACAATTTTAATCCTTTATCTTATAAAGTTCATAGGTTTTATCTCATCACCTTACAAAGTTGGTAGATTTTAGCCCCTCACCTTATATTATGAAACTTTTAACCCCTTATTTGTACAAACTGAAGAAAATAGCTTTTATTTAATATAAGATTTTAATGTTTTATTAGTTTTGTTAATTGACTGTTAGTTTTGTTAGCTGACTGTTAGCTGGCTGTCAGTTCTATTAGCTGATTGTCAGTTTTGTTAGTTGACTATTAGCATCTGTTAGTATTCCATTAATGAAACTAACAAATAAAATTGAATTTAAATTTCATATTTTTTATAATGAAACGTTAACAGATATTAACAATTAACTAATAGAACTAAAATGGGTTGCGCACTAATAGGGCTTGGTCAGATGGATTGAAGGCCATTGGATTGGGCTTATTTGACTTTGTATTATTGTATAACCCATGGACTTAGTGATACTACAGTAGTACTATTAATTTTTTTGGAGGGGGGAGGGTTCCACCCCATTAGAGTAGTAAAATTGGACCCAATCCAAAAATTTAACTTAATCTATCTATTATGGGTAGGATCATGGGTCTTATGTGTTAATTCAAAATTCAAAATGACCTGAACTGAAGTTATCCGAATCCAAATGGATTGGGTCTAAGCTGGGTTGGGTCACCCGAAATAACCTAAACTTTTTTTTATTCATTTTTATTATATTACTTAAAAATTAATTTTTAATTTTTATTATACTACAGTAGTACTATTAATTTTTTTGGAGGGGGGAGGGTTCCACCCCATTAGAGTAGTAAAATTGGACCCAATCCAAAAATTTAACTTAATCTATCTATTATGGGTAGGATCATGGGTCTTATGTGTTAATTCGAAATTCAAAATGACCTGAACTGAAGTTATCCGAATCCAAATGGATTGGGTCTAAGCTGGGTTGGGTCACCCGAAATAACCTGAACTTTTTATTTATTTATTTTTATTATATTACTTAAAAATTAATTTTTAATTTTTAATTTCCTAATCTTAAAAGTAGAAATAAATAAAATACTCAAACTTCAATCTTTCATCAATTTCACTTTCTCTCAACTTTTTCTCTTCTCCACTCTTGCTCTACCCTTCTTCATCTCAAGCTCTCTAATCCTTCTCTTTGATGGCACTTGCGTAAAAAATTAAATTAGGTGGCACATAGTAAATTATGTTATATGACATCGTAAAAAAGATGATTTTTTTTTTAAAAAAAAGTAAGAATACTTATTGAAAATCAAACCCAGTGGTTACAATACCCTCATAACCATTGAAAGTACAAAGACAAGAACATCAAGACCATTAAGACTATCAAAGTTCGTTCTTAGTTGCTAATTTATTCTTAATTAATAATTTGTTCCTAATTAATAAAAAATTTCGATCCAATTTCTTCTTGTATTTTGTTATATATATTTTGGATTTGTCTTTTAAACTTTAATATTAAATAAGGTTATATTTTTTTGTATAATGCCCTCCTAAATATTAAATAGAACTGTATTTTTTGTATAATACTCTTATAAATATTGAATATGCACTAGATATTAATATCTATTGGATTTGTCTTTTGAACTTTAATCCTTCATGTCTCTTCTTTTAATGAAGGTTAATACTTTTATGAAATTATGAATTCTAAATATTGTATAAGTATTAAATATTTGATATATATTTTAGTTCTACCTATATAATCACTAATCTTTTCCTTTT